ACATACATACCTCACAAATATCACAAATCTGACAGATCCATTCACCCCACAGTTGCAGCCACATATACCAGGATTCTACAGCAACCCCCCACAGACACAGACCCCTGACATAGAGCAATGCATGCCCATGTATACGCCCAGCCAGAGAGACAAGGACCCAGAAACACCCTCCCTGTGGATACCCTCTCAAAAGACTTCCCTCCACACATACAGATACACCCTTAGACACACATCCACACTCATACACTTTCCAGGTCCAGCAGAAACTGTCGGGAGAGGTTGGGAGAACCCCCCTCGGCAGCAGTGGACCTGGAGGTGCTATGGCTCCCTGCTGCCCCCGGGGTGGGGCCCCCTTCCCACAGGGCTCCTCCAGGGGCAGGCATGTTCAGCTGCCAGGCACGGGTTCCTCCCTGACCCTCCCTCTTTTCCTCCCTCCCTCCTGGCCTTGCTAGCAGCACAAATTGGAACTGCCCTGGATGGCCACAAATTTGCACATCCCCCAGAAAGCGAACAAGAATAAACACAGTTCAATGATGTAACAACAATGGAGAATAGTTATAGGCTCTTGATAGAAGGTAAGCCTGGCTGTTTACCAAGGGCTGTGTAAGGTCCCACTGAACTCAAAGACCAGGGAAGATGCAGGGACCCAACTTCTGCTTTCAAGAAGATGTGGCCAGAGTTTGCCACACTCTTGAGGCCATATCTGCCCTCACTCTTGTCACCTAGAGCACAATGCTGATCAAATGCCTGGAGACAGTTCTCTTCCAGGTTCAAATGCTCTCTCTTGGGCTTACTCTCTGCATACATTTAGCCTGGAGGTTTCTGAGACCCCCTAGGCCAATTTCACCACCAAGCATCCCGGTACTGGGCCAGATCTGCAGCCAAGAGCTATGCCTGTTTGTCCTTCCCACCTTGGGCCCTCCAGGCCTGGTCCTTTCATGTGGGTTCCTGAACCATGGCAGGGCTCACAATCCTCCATCTATTCCCAAGGGCGGGTGCAAAGCTTTGGCCTTCTCAATAGTATTTTTGTGTGCCCCCACTGCCCCTGTTTCATACACTCAGCAGTAGGTTCAGACAGTGAGGGGTGGGAAGTATCTACATGCATGCAGCCTCAGAAATAATTTAGAAAGTGATGTACACTAATTGGGCTGCTTAAAAAATAGTTTTAGTTTTTTAGTTTTTTTTTAGTTTTAGTTTTTTAACAGCTAGTAGAAATGCTACTATTGAGCCATTCTCAACACCATCACGCTCTGGGCTCATTGTCACTACTAACTACAAAAGAATTTTTCTTGGGTATAAGACAGGAGTTAGTTTTAGTTCCACTCCCCATCCTGTGATAGGAATCCTGGCTTGTTCTTACTTGCAGTTTTTACTTCAAGTTCCCTTAATTGACAAGGAAACTTGTCTAAGGTCTAAGGGTGATCCAGCAATAGCAGAGTGTTTTTTTGTTTGCTGTTAATTCCAGCCGCTGCAGAAAGACAATGACCCCATACCCTCCACTGATCTGCAGCAAGAGGAAATTTCTGAATGACCCCCCCACACACACACCCCCGCAGCTTTGCATGCTCCACTGGGTCTAAAATACAAAACATCAGCTCCTAGCAGTTGGGCTTTCAAACAAACCGATTTTTTAAAATGAATGTGGCTTACCCCAAAAAGAAGTCGAACGTTCCAGTTGATCAAAAAGTACTTGTTTAGGAAAATCAGTTTTGGAATGAAGTGGAAACAAGGCCTTTGAAATGCAGTTTGGCCCTACATAGCACCACATTTTAGACTTTTCCTTGCCATTGCACATTCTTTATGGTAAAGAGGACTCCGAGCCCACACACTTCACCCATCCAGTCCTCCAGGGCCACAAGCCTCCCTTCCCCCACCGCTGAAGCTTTCAGCCAGGGACCAGGCATTTGGAACTTTGAAATTGTTCCCGATCCCCTTTGGCAGCGTGCACCCAGCACCAAAACGCTCCAGTTTAACACCAGTGCAATCACTGTTAGCGTGAAGCAGCTGCTCAAGGCCTGGCGGGCTCCACTGATCACCCCCACCCAACCAGCCTCAGCTGTGAGACTCAGGAGACCCCAGTGAACACAGGGTCAAGGGGATGGGAGTAGAGTGATAGAGCCCAGTTGCTGCAGATGAGGAAACAAACTTGTGTTAAAGCTCTTATTTACTTTGGAAAAAGTGAACTGTGTGTGTGTTAGGGGTTGGTGAGGGATAGAGAAGGAAAAACAGGAATTTTTATGAAGCACATTTTTAAGCTTTAAACCAACTGTAGGAAAGAACCATACTCAGGTTTTGTTCAATTGTGTGAGAATCAGCAGAGGGATTGAAAGCTTTTTTTTTTTCCTTCCTTTTTTCCAGACCTGGGTTGAATTTGCTTTCTGGCCGCTTATAGTAGTCTCAAGCACAAACACTAATCCTTTTGCATAAATAACGTGTGTGCTCACTCCCAGAGGAAGCTGTCCACATAAACAAACACTACCCAGATATAAGTTTAACTTGTTTAATCTTCCTTCTCTTTCCGTCCTCAGCACAACCAGGCTTTCCAAAGTCCAGGCCAAAGCCTGGTTCTCTGGCCCAGAAAGGCTGGGCTTTAACTTCCCACCCCCAATTCAGCCAGGGGCTGGCAAGACCCTCCTCACCCAAGCAGTTGTTTCCCGGGTGTCCCATTGGAGAAAAAAAAAAAAAAAAATCCAGACCTTCAGCTGCCACAGCGGACACGTGATCTCTTGGTGACTCACAGGCGGGCCACACCCCTCAGGCCTCCCAGCCAGGACCTGCTACCAGTCAGCCAACTCGGGGATGCATCTTATTAGCAAAGGGAACAGCTAGCTAAACTAATGCCCTTGACAGTCTAAATTACTTTTCTTTCAGCTGAAAGAACTTGCTATTAAAACACATAGGGAGACAAGCTCTTCTGAACTCGGGCTCTGCCAGCCCTCTAAACCCTAGCGCCCAACTCTCTAAGACCTGGGCAATGCCTAACAGTGGTGGGAAGCTAGAAAGCTCTGTAGGTATCCCCATTTTAAAAAAGGAAGCTATCTTACACATTAATACCTTTTTTTTTTCCCAGAAGTTTTATTGGGGGAAAACTACAAAACATTTACAGTACAATGTTTACAGTCACAATTTGTAGTGAACTGATTCCCCAAATATATTACAACTCAAGTTGACTTAACCTTGTTACATTCAAAATACCTACTTCTGTCAAAGTAGTCCACAATACATACATACATAGTGCTCCAACTGTACCTACGTACAAACTAAAGCTACTGCTCATTCAGCCGCTGTCCAGAAAAGCATTCCTGCCTTTCCACACGGGGAAAAAAATAGTAAAAGTTTTGGAATTTTCTGTAATTAAACAAGGCATATTCATGTACTACATACCATTTTAGCACTAAGAGGTGGCCTCTTCACTTTATATCTATATAAAAAAAAAGTGGTAAAAATCTTCTCCTTTTGTGCAGTTGAACCCATCCTACATTCAGATTCTCTCAAGCACTAATAGACAAAATACTTATTTGGTTGAGAAAAATTTAAGGCAAGTTCTGGCCCTTCCAAAGGCACTGTGAGATTACCCCCCCCCCCCCATTATTGCTACATGTCTTTATATGCAGAGTATGTCACAGTAGAACTGGTGGAATAAGCAAACAAAAAACATCTTTTGCTAATTTATAAAGTTGGAATGAGAAAAGCATGCCACATGTAAGCCCGATTGCAATGTGGTCATTTTTTTCTTTTAAAGTTGGATGGGCTACAACCATTATACATTCTAAGAAAAACTCATAAGATATTCCTCAAACTACTTCCACAGCATCAAGATAGATTTCTGTAAAGAAATCATGCAATCTTTCAAAATTTACGTAAACAAGGAAAGAAATTAATGAAATAAATATTACATACAATCTCTTAAATTAAGATTTTTTTTACTCATTTACAATAAAATAACGATGTGAAGTTACAAAAGGCATATATTACTGTGAAAAGAACATACACTCCACATTTTGCCGATTAATAATGGCAATCATAACTTAACATAATAAAAGAATATATATCTATTGCTTTTCATCATACTTGATAAATACAGTATGAACAAAATTTTCAATGTATACTTTTCACAAGATAATAAATAAGTTAAATAGTTTTTTTCATATTGAGTTGTGGTGCAGTGGTGCGAATCAACTCAAAACAGCTAAAAATTCAGCAGTTATTCCCCAACAATTACAAACTAAGCTCTGCCCAAGGCTTCCAGAAAGAGCAGACAAAATGGTTCTAAATTAACATCCCCTAAGTGGTGGCAATGAAACCAGTAACCAGTATGAAACTTTGGAATGCAAGGGTTTTTTTTTTCCAGACATATGTAACTTTGTTAAAAAACAAAACACCTATGGAGCTGAGGTCTACTATCAAGGCATATTCTTGGCAGAATATTGGATTCTAAAAGCTTCTAGGTTTAGCAAGGCGGTGGTTGGCTGGTTTGTTTACACTGGTCTGGGACAAACAATTAGGAACTTCTCTCAAGATAAGAGTCCCGACATCTGGACTGTAACTAATGCTTTTCAAGTGAAGATATGGAATGGTGGTTGATAGCTGCTGGTGCTGGGTTGATTTTTCCTAAAATCCCAAACTCATCGGAGACCTAAAAAAGTTTGTTGTTTGGTTTTTTGTTCTATTCGCATCACAACTGCTCTGTTGTGAGTCTTTTGTTCATCAATACAAAAAGTTCGTTGGCTTTTTTCCCGCTCAACAAGAATGAAACTTCGTAATAATAATAAAAATAATAATAATAATAAAAAAACAAAAACGAAGAGGGAACCGAAAGGGGAGGGTGGGGGCCCCTCCCGGCACTCAAGTTCGAGTCCAAGTGCTCGGCACAGCCTGCAGTCTGCTTGTGGCCGATGTCACCCCCCACACTCCTGTGCCCCCCTGCCTCTAAGCAGGGGCGCCCTCCAACACCCCCAGAACGGCCTGCCCTTCCTCCTCCTCACTGGCGCCCTCTTGCCTCAGTCGTCGGAGATGGAGAGGCGGCTGAAGATGGGCAGGCGGCGACCCGGGTCAAGGCCGGGGGACTCAGAACCACTGAGGCTGCCCGAGCTCAGGGAGCCGCTCAAGTAGCTGTCGCGGTCCGACAGCGAGTCTGGGGGGCTGGGGGGCGCGTCGAACACCGGCGACTCGGACAGGCGGCGTGGCAGCTGGAAGCTGAAGGGCGGCGAGGGCGGCGCGGCGGCGCTGGCAGGGAGGGGCGCGCTGGGCGGCGCCGGGGGCTGCGCGGGGGGCACCAGGCCCTGCTGCTGCTGCTGCTGGCTGCGATAGTAGGCGGCGGCAGCCACGGCGGCGAAGTTGTGGGTCTGGATGGCGAGCGGTGTGATGAGGCTGCTCAGCTCCGGGCCGAAGGCGAAGGCGTTGTTGGCGCACGAGGCCGACGAGCAGGTGGCACAGGGCGCGCCGGGGGCGAGCAGGTCCTCGGCGCCCCCGGTGCCGTACAGCAGCGCGGCTGCGGCCGCCGCCGCAGCAGAGGCGCAGCACGTCGGGGCGCCGGAGGGCGTGGAGGCTGCCGAGGCCGAGGAGCAGGACGAAGCGGACGACGAGCAAGACGAGGCCGAGGAGCAGGAGGGCGGCGGCGGCGTGCGCGACGTGGGGCTGTCTAGGAGCAGGGGCGACTCTAGGCCCCCAGGGGGCTGGTGGTGGCCCGACGGGAAGCCCGAGAAGCTGAGGCTATGGTGCAACTTGGGCCGCGGTTCCCGCGGGAAGCCTAGGTGCAGCGCGTCGCGGGCGCTGAAGGTGCGCAAGTCCCCGGAGGCACCCCCGGACGGCGCGGGTCGCCGCTCATCAGCGTTGTGGATGAAGTGGCAGCGCGGCCCGTAGGGGCAGAAGCCGATGGTGTGGAAGGTGCGGCACAGCTCGGTCTTGTACTTGGGGTGTCGCGTCAGGCTGCGCAGCTCGTGGAAGCCGTGCGCGAACTGGCACTTCTCACCGTACTTGCAGGTGCCACTCTCCTCGAAGGGTCGGCACAGCTCAGTTTTGTAGCGCGTCGAATTGATCTGGGAGCCGCCGCCCCCCTTCTGCTGTTGCTGCAGGTGCAGGAGGTGCTGGCTGCGCTCCCCATTCTCGCTGAACGAGCGGTCCCGGAATTTGTTCTCCTTGTTCAGCAGGGCGGTGCCGCCGCCCCCCGACGGCTCCTTGAGGGTGCCGTAGGAGGCCGAGCCGCCGGCCGCCGCGCTACCGTTAGCCGCGCCCGGGAACTTGGGCGAGCAGCTGCCGGGGCTAGGCGCGGGGTGGGCGAGTGCGTGCAGGTTGCTGGCCGAGTGCCGTCGGAGGAAGCCCGGCGTGAAGCCCGAGCTGGGGGCGGTGGCCACGGGTGTCCCCACCGCCTTCTTGTCCAGCATGTTGTTCAGATTGAGGTTGGCCAGGGATTTCTCCGTCTGCCAAGAGGAGGGGAGCGGGGAAGGGATGAAAAGGGAGGAGGGAAGAGTTGGGACGAGTTGCCGAGTAGCCACTACCAGCCCTCCGATTCTTTTTCCTTTTTTCAGATCTCGATTCGGCCCAACCTCCACCCTTAAACAAGCACAAGAATCAAGTTCGCATTGGGAGGAGCCGGACTCTCCCACCCCAGGCCGCGCTGCGTCGCGACATGTGATCCTCAGCCGTGGGCCGCAGGCCTGGGCGGCGCAAACCCCGTCCGGGAAGCCCCGGGCAGCGTGGCTGTGGTCGGCTGCGGAGAAACTAACAGCTACAGCGACTCCCTTCTGCCTTTCCTCCCAACTGCTCCTTCTCCCCGCCCACAAGGCTCGAGCAGCAGTGCAAACTCTGGGATTTTCCCCAAATCTAAAAAAGTCAGAGCGGGAACAGAACCCCCAAAGCCGAGGACAGAAGGCCAAGCCTGAAAACTTGATGGGCTCCCTGCTCACCCGCGTACCTTGCACAAGAAGTCGATATCGTAGAAGGCGGACAGAAGTGTGGTCGACATGTTTCTGGATCCTCTAATGGTCGGAGCTGCAGACTGGGAGATCCGGAGAAGCCCTCGGGGCGGCGCGGCCGGGCCCGAGCCACGACGAGTAACGGGCGAGGGGCGAGGGAGGGACCGAAAGTTTGCTGGGGGGCGAGAAAAGAGGGAGCGTGGGCAGCAGGGTGGACTGGTTTGAGGGTGCCCGGGAGTGCGGAGTTGGGGGGAAAGAAGAGTGAAGCTAGAGCGCTCCTCCGCGCCCCGGGGTGCCCGGCCCGCCCCCCCGCGCGGAGCCGACGGCAGCTCGCGGACTGGTGGAACTCAGCGGCCCGCGAGCGCGCGCCCTATATAGAGCCCCCGGAGCGCGGCCGCTCAGGGGCGGGCGTGCCAGGGGAGGGGACTGAACGCTGACCCCGCCGGGGTCTCCAGGCAACGCCGCCCGCCCGCTGGCGGACGTCAGGAGCCTTCCTGGCCTCCCATTGGCCGCCGCCAATTTTTTTCCTCTAGGGGAGGGGACGGAGAGGCCTCGGGGCGGGGCTGGCCGCCTGGGTGCCCGGGGCGGTGTGGAGATCTCGGCCGAGAGGGGTGCTGCTGGTTGGTGGCGGGAAGATACGGCTCCCCTCCTCTGGGGCTGTTCTGTCGGAAATCCCCAGCACGTCTAACGTGGCCGGGTTTCTGCAGCCCTGAACGTGTCTTTCCCCGCCCGATCCTGCTTGGCGAAATTGAGGAGCTTTTATCTCCCACTCTTAGTTTTATAGTGGGCGCGGGAATTGCAAAGTGCAAGAATACTGCAACCGTCCGCGCGGCCCGGCAGCTTTGCAAAGGGCTCTCTGGCCGGGGGGCGGGGACTCTGGGCTTGAGTCTGATGGGTGGTGGCTGCGTCCCGACTGCACGTGGAGATGCGGTGGGGGTGGGGGCGGGAGCGGCCACGCGGGCGGCCGCCTGGGCAGTCTCTCCCGGAGGAGCCTGGGCGCGTTTCTCCGCCCCTCTTCCCGCCCAGACTGCAGTAAACAGGGCTTGAATGCCGAGGCCTGCCGGGCAGGGCTGAGTGTCTGAGGACAAGGCGCTGGCTTTGCTAATCACATCACAAGACCTTGAGCCAGGGCCAAAGGCGCAGAGTGGCGCGGGGCGTCCCGGGCGGGAGAGCCGGCTGGGAGGACGGGAGGAAAGGCCAGGAGAGCCGCGCAGGCATGGAGGCCACTTCCCGCCGCGTTGTCCGTCTGCTGGTCTGTCCGGCTTTCCCCAGTACTCCTGGGGGTCGAGGTACAGCTGCGAGCCGAGTCTCCCGTCCGCCGCAGCCTTGGCCTGGTGCGCCCTCCTAGACCCTCCCTGGCCGTTTAGGGCGCTGCGCCCTGCCTTAGCTTGTCCTGGGTTGCGGGCTCCCGCTGAGGCCAACCCGCAGCCAGGCAAGGCAGGACACCGAAGATTCGCCTAGTGGGCTCGCCTTACCTTCTCTTGCCAATCCCACACCCCAGAAGCCTGCATTGGTATAAAGTTTTGCCAGCCGGTGCCCTCCGGGTGCGAGGCAGACACCATCCCGCCCCAGCACCCAGTGAGGCTTAAGCTGCTGTCAGATCTGGGGTCCGGTCCAGGACACTTCCCGTCTACGCAGACGCTGCCTCTGAAAGGCTGGAGTCCGGCCCATGATTTCGCACACCTGTTAGCCTAGGCTGTTACTGGGCCTAAGTTGGAAGGTCCAGTACCTGCCAGGGAAAGAAGCTCCCGCGACCCACGCCCCCTTGCCCAGTTGATCTTATTTCTGGCTGTGTTTCCTTGTGCTTATTTACATTCCGCTGCACTCACTCCTTCTCTCAGTACCCTGGGAAGGAATGAACTAGGCCTGGTTCTCAGGAAACCAACTCCTTCAAGTTCAGCTTGCATGCAGAGCCAACTGCTGGACTCTCCACCCATCCAGGGTGCTTGAGCCAAGGCAGGGCTGCAAGGACTTCAGGATCAGAATCATAAGGCTGGAGTTCAGCCTCCTTCCCTTATAAACCACATGGTTTTAGACAAATCACATAATCACTTGGGCACCTGGGTTTCCTTGTAAAACTAACATAATTCCTGCTTTACTAATCTATCACCTTTTGTCAAGGTGCCAATGCAAATGAGTTACCTGTTATGGTGTTTAAAAGATAAACAAGTATATTCCATCTTATTTATTAAAACAAATTGACAAAGCAAAAAAAAATGGAGCAAGTCAGACCTCTGGAGCATGGCTGGATGGGTGAAGGTCCACAGAATGGTGAATGCAGAGCTGAGAGGGCACCAAATCCTGGACCCTCCAGCTTGGAGCCAAGGGCAGTGACCTCAGAAGAAGTGACTGCTTTAGACTCACCACCCAGCCTACACTGATCATTAGACAAGGTTGGGCAATCGTGGCGGAGACTTGTAGCCTGGAACACCCAAGAACCCTGACCCTGTTTTGCACTTTGTTGAAATGAACCCAAGAGTTTGAGGATGGCTCTGACGGTGGGGTATTCTGAATTGCCCCTGGGAATGCATCAGGAAAGTGTGAAACAGCCATTTCCCAGGCCACCACCCCTGCTACTGAAGGTCAGTGACAAGATTTCAGATACAAAAACCAGTGGAAACATCTGCCTCTCCTGTACTCCCAAGCTGGCTACAACCAGCCAAGATGAAAATCTGGGGTAATTCCCAGTCAACACCTAGGAGAACACCCACTTTGTGAGCTGGGTAGAAGACTTCGGAGCTTGCATGTAAACACGCTATGGTACATGCTTTGGTACAGAGTACCTGCTGGTAGAAATATTTTTATTATCATATAACTGCTTTTATTTCATTTTAAATGGAGAAAAAAGGAATGCTGGCCTTTTCCAGTGAGCTGAGCTTTATTAGAGCCAGTTTCATAATTATTCTACCATGGTTATCATTATGTTGTACCAACAATTACCTGACTTCTCACATCCATGTCTTCTCAGAACAAAAAGAAATGTTAAGCTGGCAACTTTCCATCAAGTGTGGGCTACACAGATGCCTAACCAGGTAATTAATTCAGGATCACAACACATTTTGAGCTGAATAGTGCAAAGCCACCAGGGAATTTCCTGTTCTCTTTAGGACAAAACTTTGGACACTAAATTAACTTTTTTGCATGCCTCTTCCTACAGCTCTTTACTAGTAGGCTCTATTTTTTAGTGTTAGGTGGTTTTCTTTCAAAAAGAAACAAATTATATTTGAAATATAAATCTTTCTGCAGTAGGAAATGATCATACCAAATCCTCTCCCCGCTAAACTGCCTGATCAAACCCTCAAACATCAATAAAATAATTCTAACTGGTTGCTCACCTGTGAGTATTTAAAAATATTTAGACTCTAAAGCTGAAACAAGTGTACACACAATTACTGACATGGTTTCTTCAGATAACTAGGATGAAGTGAACGTGGATGAGGTTATGACCTATCCAAGCTATGAGTTTCAAGATAACTGTCTTTGGGTGACACTTTGAAATTACAAATTAAAAACGGTAAGCCAGTGAAAAAATCAGCAGCAAAACGTATGCAATAGCGACACCTGCTGGGTGTCTGAGGAAGTGGGGAGGGCTGGATTTAGAAAAGCAGAAAATCCTAAGGTTTGTATATTAAATCACTAAAATGGATAAATATTTTCTGTGATCCTAAGTAAGAATCTTTTTGCAACCAAGAAGATGATAGTAAACAGTGTAGACATCAAGTAAGTCATTTATTCTGACTCTCCCCAGGTTCCTTCTAACAGGCAAGAGGCTATGGTTTCAGTGGGTGGTAAAATATGATTTCTTAACAATAGCACAAATACTTTTTATTGGGGGTCAGGGGGTAGGAGCTTGTAATGGCTCTTTTAATAATGAGGATGGCATGTGCAGGTCACTGAAGGCTTAAAGATGCAGACACTAAAAACAAAATTATTTGTATGAAGTTAATGCTTAATTCTCCCAGGATCCAACATTTGGAACATATTTCTTACTTCACTAAAATGGAATAAAATTTGAAATTCGGACCAAGTGGGCTGTTTGCTAACTAATCCAACTCTTACAACCAGCCAAAAATAGGGGGTGGGGTGGGGAATCATGTCTTAAAACCCAACCCTGTGTAGTCAATTCAGAGGAAAATGCAGGCTGGCTCTAGTTGGACATTGGAGGTCCTGGGGGATGAGAAAGGTTAATTCAGGCCTGCAGGTGGCCTGCACCTGGGAACAGAGTCAATATTCACTGTGGTAGCCTCACTTCCTACAGTAGCTGCAATAAACGAGGCTGCCTTGAATGACTGAACCAAAGAAAAAATCCTCTGTGGGACAAAAGACGACTCACAGAAGGGAGGTGGAGGGAGGGGGGCGCGGTGTGAAGGGGAGAAAATGCTGGAGTTTCTGTTGAACATTTTACTATTGATTGAGTGGAAGAATAACCCACCCCATCCCAATCCCACAAATCCTTCTTCAACAAGCTGTTTCTGTTCTTGGAAGCGTTAACTGATTCGCTGCTGCAGAAGAATCCAAAGCCCTGAGAACTAGGGTGTCCTCCCCTTCCTCTCCTTCCAGAATGGCCAGCAGCCTCAGGCAAGCCAAAGTCCTTTCCTCCCGAATGCGCAGTCTCGTGAACTCCGCCGTCTTCAAAAACTCAGCAGTGGGAGGCAGCACTCTCAAGAGCTGGGAAAGGAGGTGACGTTGCTCCGATGCAGTCCTCTTAAAATGACGGAGCATCTCCGGGCTGAGGGGACACCAGCTGGACTCACAGAGGAGGCGGAAGAGGTGCTTGTAGAGGTATTTCACGAAGATCAGGGTCTCGGCCCAAAAGTTGATTTCCGTTTTTTCAAATGGGTAGTCGTCTTCCACCTGAATCAGATGAAAAAGCCAAAACCCAGCCTTATGGGGGATGCTGACCCAGCCCCAGTCCAGAGCGGAGTCCTGGCAGATGCAGAAGCAGCGTGTCCCCTCCCCCACATGACAGCGGGCGCACTTCCGCCTGTCAACACCCCTGCACACACACCGCTTGCAGCCTTGAAGGTCACCTTCGATGTTCACTCATCCTACTTCTCCACCGGAGAGGAATTCCTCCCCTACCAGACTTAACATGACCTTTGATAAAGATGTGTTTGTGGTTCTCAGCCAAGATACCTTGGGGGGACTGGTGCTGAAAAGGGGACCTCAACACAGGAGGGGGCCCTAGACCTGAAGGTGCATCTAGAAATCAGAGAGGAGCAGGGAAGGGAGATGTGAGCAGCAGAACAAAGAGCGAAGTATTGCCAAACATGAGACACTGCTCTCTGAGGATGAAGCCCAGTTTCTATAATGCTGGGGACTTTCAAGGTCATTTTTACTGTAGACACTTTATCTTGTCTCCAAATTTCCCATAAACAGACTGCTTTTTGAACTCTTGGCCTGCTGGTGATGCCAAGAAGGCCAGCTGAGTCAGACACCAGGGAAGAGGGATTTCAGTTCTCAGGATGCTTTTGCTGCTTATCTGGGTCCTCAGTTTCCCTATCGGAGAAGGCAATGGCACCCCACTCCAGTACTCTTGCCTGGAAAATCCCATGGATGGAGGAGCCTGGTAGGCTGCAGTCCATGGGATTGCGTAGGAGTCGGACACGACTGAGCGACTTCACTTTCACTTTTCACTTTCATGCATTGGAGAAGGAAATGGCAACCCACTCCAGTGTTCTTGCCTGGAGAATCCCAGGAACGGCGGAGCCTGGTGGTCTGCCGTATATGGGGTCACAGAGTCGGACATGACTGATGCGACTTAGCAGCAGCAGCAGCAGTTTTCCTATCTGTTGACTGCTCCCCTTGGAGCGGTTTAATAGTTTTATAGTTAATAGTTAGTTAATAGTTAATAATAGCTACTATTAAAAGTAATAAGTTATTATACATAATATATTAATATATAATAGTAATATATAAACTATTAATAAGTTATTAATAAGTTATACAATATATTGATACATAATGCTTATATTATATAGTATTAATAACTATTAACAATAGTTGTTAATATTAATAATTTATTATATAATACATATATTAATATATTAATATTAATAGTCCATAAAATAACTTTAATAAAATAGCAGTTTATTAAACCTGGAGGGGTTTAATAGTTTTCTTCTAGCAGCTGAGACCCTGGAAGGACCCTGATTCTCTGGAAGTGTTTCAGCTTCAGACCTAACTGTGGGGAGCCTCTGGTTACTCTAATGTTGATGAATAAGCATTCTCCATAATTAAACACTCAACTTCCAAGGGACCTCTTTTGAAGTCTCCTCCCCCACAATGATGGGAAGGCTTACCACTGGAACCCCTAAATCAGCAGGAGAGCTGCCCGAGGAGCACCCAGCCGGCTGGGGTCATGTGGAGATTTTGTTAATCGGTTACTGCTCTGTATCTGAGCATCTGGAAGCACACTTTCAAGCTACATCAAGCCCACGAAGGCCTGTAAGTGCTGCCTCCAGCGGGCATAGGTAGGACACACTCACACACCTCCGCTGCCTGAGACCCCAGGGATTACCTGATGTGCTCTCTCCTCACAGGCCACGAGGCCCTCACCCTCTCCCAGCAGCCATCCCAACAGGACTGGGAGTCCGGGGGTCAGCTGATTCCATTGCTGGAGCAGGTCACAGAGCACAGCCAGAGCCAGGTCCAGTGCGCTGGAGGCATCCACCTGGCAGAAGGCAAATTCTGCAAAGAGGAGAGAGGTGAGCCATGAATGTGCTGCTGAGTGCCAACCAGGAGTCTGTGCAGGATTCGGGGACAGTGAAAGTCCCCGGTAAAATCACTGCCACCGCGTGGCAGGCAAGCTGGTGGGAGAGGCTCACTAAGGGTTATTTGCTGTCTATACACTAGAATGAGTTATAGGCCTGAACCCCACCATTGCCATGCCCCCTATCCCAGTGTGGATCGAAGCTGCCCCATCTACAGGACTAGATGTTTCTGTCCCCTCAAGCCAATTGGAAGGATATCAGGAAAGCATCCCACCCAGCATCTCCTCTGCAGGCTTGCTGACCTCCATCACTCTGCCCCTTCCTCTAAAGCAAATCCCACTGAGCACATGACACATTAAATCTCTAACTTCTCTGAGCAGGGCATCAGCGAACTTTTTCTTGAAGAGCCAGAAGGTAAATATTTTAGACTTTAGGAGTCTTTTTAATATTTGTTTGGCTATGCCGGGTCTCATTGGCGGTATGTGGGATCTAGTTCCCTGACCAGGGATCGAATCTGGGCCTCCTGCACTGGCAGTCTTAGCCACTGGACCACCAGGGATGTCCCGACTTTGCAAGTCTTATGGTCTCTGTCACAATTAACTCTCCAGAAAGCAGCCACAGACAATATGTAAACAAATGGTTGTGGCTACTAGGTTCCAATAAATCTTTATTTATGGTCCAATAAAAGTGGTCTTTTATGTGATTTTTAGGTATCAACAAATAATATTCTTCTTTTTATTTCTTCTAACCAATAAAAAAATGTAAAAGCCATTAGCAGTTCACAGGCTGTACAATGACAAGTTGTTGTTTAATTGCTAAGTCATTTTGGACTCTTTGCAACCCCACAGACTGTAGCCCACCAGGCACCTCTGTCCATTGGATGTCCCAGGCAAGAATATTGGAGTGGGTTTCCATCTCCTTTTCCAGGGGATCTTTCTGACCCAGGGCTTGAACCCGTGTCTCTCACTTAGCAGGCAGATCCTTTACTACTGAGCCACCCGGGAAGCTCCCCAGTGACAGGTGGGGGACTGGAATTAGCTCATAGTCCACTGCCCTCTGTGTTAGACTGAACTCATTTTTCAGACACTCATCTTAGCTGACTGGAGGAAGGGCGGTGAAAGAGTAGAATGGGGCACAGAAAAAGGAAGTGGGTGACTGTGGAAAATTCTGAAAGAGATGGGAATACCAGACCACCTGACCTGCCTCTTGAGTAGGCAGGTCAAGAAGCAACAGTTAGAACTGGACATGGAACAACAGACTGGTTCCAAATAGGAAAAGGAGTATGTCAAGGCTGTATATTGTCACCCTGCTTATTTAACTTATATACAGAGTACATCATGAGAAATGCTGGGCTGGAGGAAGCACAAGCTGGAATCAAGATTCCCGGGAGAAATATCAATAACCTCAGATATGCAGATGACACCACTCTTGTGACAGAAAGTAAAGAAGAACTAAAGAGTCTCTTGATGAAAGTGAAAGAGGAGAGTGAAAAAGTTGGCTTAAAGCTCAACATTCAGAAAATTAAGATCATGGCATCTGGTCCCATTACTTCATGACAAATAGATGGGGAAACAGTGGAAACAGTGGCTGACTTTCTTTTTCTGGGCTCCAAAATCACTGCAGATGGTGATTACAGCAATGAAATTAAAAGATGCTTACTCCTTGGAAGGAAAGTTATGACCAACCTAGATAGCATATTAAAAAGCAGAAACATTACTTTGCCAACAAAGGTCCATCTAGTCAAGGCTATGGTTTTTCCAGTGGTTATGTATGGATGAGTTGGACTATGAAGAAAGCTGAGCGCCAAAGAATTGATGCTTTTGAACTGTGGTGTTGGAGAAGACTCTTGAGAGTCCCTTGCACTGCAGAGATCCAACCAGTCCATCCTAAAGGAGATCAGTCCTGGGTGTTCATTGGAAGGACTGATGTTGAGGCTGAAACTCCAATACTTTGGCGAAGAGCTGACTCATTTGAAAAGACCCTGATGCTGGGAAAGATTGAGGGCAGGAGGAGGAGGGGACAACAGAGGATGAGATGGTTGGATGGCATCATCGACTCAATGGACATGGGTTGGGGTAGACTCCGAGAGTTGGTGATGGACAGAGAGGCCTGGCGTGCTGTGGTTCATGGGGTCGCAAAGAGTCGGACACGACTGAGTGACTGAACTGAACTGAACTGACTTGCGGAAACCATTGCTTACTTCATCATTTTGCCTTGTTACTCAAACTCATGTCTGGTGAGCTGGTGTTGTCATCCAACCATCTCATCCTCTGTCGTCCCCTTCTCCTCCTGCCCTCAATCTTTCCCAGCATCAGGGTCTTTTCCAATGAGTCAGCTCTTTGCATCAGGTGGCCAAAGTATTGGAGTTTCAGCTTCAACATCAGTCCTTCCAATGAACACCCAGGACTAATCTCCTTTAGGATGGACTAGTTGGATCTCCTTGCAGTCCAAGGAACTCTCAAGTCTTCTCCAACACCACAGTTCAAAAGCATCAATTCTTCTGTGCTCAGCTTTCTTTATAGACCAACTCTCACATCTATACATGACTATTGGAGAAACCATAGCTTTGACTAGATGGACCTTTGCTGGCAAAGTAACGTCTCTACTTTTTAATATGCTGTCTAGCTTGGTCATAACTTTTCTTCCAAGGAGCATCTTTTAATTTCATGGCTGCAGTCACCATCTGCAGTGATTTTGGAGCCCCCAAAAATAAAGTCTGTCACTGTTTCCATTGTTTCCCCATCTATTCGTCATGAAGTGATGGGACCGGATGCCATGATCTTAGTTTTCTGAATGTTGAGTTTTAAGCCAACTTTTTCACTCTCCTCTTTCACTTTCATCAAGAGGCTCTTTAGTTCTTCTTTGCTTTCTGCCATAAGGGTGGTGTCATCTGCATATCTGAGGTTATTGATATTTCTGCTGGCAATCTTGATTCCAGCTTGTGCTTCATCCAGTCCAGCATTTCTCATGATGTTTTCTGCACATAAGTTAAATAAGCAGGGTGACAGTATACAGCCTGACGTACTCCTTTCCCAATTTGGAACCAGTCTGCTCTTCCATGTCCAGTTCTAATTGTTGCTTCCTGACGGGCATACAGATTTCTCAGGAGGCAGGTCAGGTGGTCTGGTATTCCCATCTCTTTCAGAATTTTCCACAGTTTGTTGTGATCCACATAGTCAAATGCTTTGGCATAGTCAATAAAGCAGAAGTAGATGTTTCTCTGGAACTCTCTTGCTTTTTTGATGATCCAATGGATGTTGGCAACTTGATCTCTGGTTCCTCTGCCTTTTCTAAATCCAGCTTGAACATCTAGAAGTTCACGGTTCATGTATTGTTAAAGCCTGGCTTGGAGAATTTTGGGCAATACTTTGCTAGCATGTGAGATGAGTGCAAATGTGCAGTAGTTTGAGCATTCTTTGGCATTGCCTTTTTGGGGGGTTGGAATGAAAACTGCCTATTCCAGTCCTGTGGCCACTGCTGAGTTTTCCAAATTTGCTGGCACATTAAGTGCAGCACTTTCACAGCATTATCTTTTAGGATTTTTAGACAGCCCTAAATATGGGTTTGAAGGGAGGCTCTGGGCATTGACACTCCCATTAACAACTCTGCACCTTCCATCACCAACCTAGAGCAGGCCTGAAATGTGGGACTGAAATCTCGGCACACAGACAATACACGTCTACAGACCCATCCATACACCAATGCTTGTCTTTCAATGACCCACTTCTACTGAGACCTCATCTTTCTCTAATCCACTGCAGCCCACAGACTTTGTCCTTGACCATTTGGCCCCCAAAGAGACTTGCTCAACATACAGGGAGAAGCCTCAGAGTCTGGAATAGAAAGCTGAGTTCCCTAGGGTGTTGAACCAGCCTCTGGGGACCTATTAAGTGCCAGTCACCTAACCAAGTCCTTTCTCTCCAGTCCTTCAACATCCTCTGGGCTGGGTATTACCTTTCCTAATTCACGGATGAGGAATCCAGGCACAGTTAGGTTATCTCACTTGCATACAGTCAGAGAGCTTTAAGTGGCTATAAAGAAACTGGAATTGACAGCAAGTTTCATGGTGCATGTAGAGTGCAGATTTGGAGAACTAGTACCAGCATTCCTGGGATGTAGTTCTTCATGGTGAGAGGAACAGAGCTGATGACCCTCCATCGGGGTCAGCACTACATAGAGCCCATGAAGTGGAGCCTGGGCTCACAGAAGCAGCCAAAGGACCAATGTTACCATCTTCGGAGCCCGAAATCAATCCCCCAGGACACCTGCCCCTTAGGCTCTGCAGCCTGGCATCAGGCTTCAAACTGGGAAACAGAAAAAGTTGAGGGGAGGTGTGAAGGTGCCTTTTTGGCTGCAGGACTGAGCCATGTGTTGGTCTAGGCTTTGCCTATGATACAATCTCTATTTTTAACTCTGTTGACTCCCCTGTGTAGTTCTCAACTACTTTAGAGTCTGTAAGGGGAAGAGAACAGCATTAATTGGCATCTTTCAAGTCCCAAAGACTGAAAATATACATGCAGACTAGCATACAATGAAACACACAGCAGATGCTCAGAACATTCCAGTTTATGACTCTGGAGATTATTAAACTTCCTTTACCCCACTTGATTTGGTTTGAATTCTAACACAGGGACAGCCACAAAGAAAGCAAGCAATAAGTTGATAATAACAGAGACTTTCCTTTTATTTGAACCCTTGCTTCTCCCACCATCAGAAGGAAGGTATCCTTATTTAATAAACGAGGAAGCTGTGCTCACAGAGGTTGGGTAACAGGTCCAGAATCTCACAGTTAGCAGTGGTGGCACTGAGCTAATATATATCCTTCAGTCACAGGCCACGCCCATCCTGCAGGGAAGCCTTGGAGAAACACTCCCAGTACCCCACGGAGATGAGGAAGTCAGACTCAGTTTTATTATTTTTATGCATTAAAAGTGGGGCTTCCCTGATAGCTCAGTTGGTAAAGAATCCGCCTGTAAT